ACATTATTTTGTTTTGAGTTTTATATAATAGCTTATGATTGGGCACGGATTAAAATGCAAATGCATTTTTCCCTCTTAAGTTTGAGCACAATGAACATTAAGCCGATAAATGGTTTTAAAGTGTGTAGATTTTTATTATGACATTTTTTGTCTTTATTCGCTTTTTCATGATGCTTTTTTTTTATCGTCGGTCATTATTTTGGTTATTTAAAGTTTTTTTAAGAATTATTACTTGGCATTTCTATTATTTTCATACACATTATACAAAGCACATTTTACTGCTATTGTTGACTGTTGACTATATATCAAAAAATTAATGTCTGACCACAACTCGGTATATTGTCCTCCAAAAACGGGATTTCCGTTAAACATTTTGTTTATTATTACATTCGGTAACATTGTTTACAGAATTTTTTTTATAAAACATGAAAACCGTAAATAATAATAATAATAAGTCAATGTAGACATTTTATTTTTATTAAAATTTGTAGCTTAAAAAAAAAATTGCCAGCACAAGTATTGACTGCAAAATTTCGAATCAATCAATCATCTAGGTGATGAATTAATTTTCAAAATTGAATGGTTTAAGTGAGTAAGATCATAAATCATTTTTTGTGATGTTCAATATAAATTGTGTAAAAAGTGTTTTAATGTGTCGATTGGTTGCACTACGCTGTTTTTATAATAAACGACTAACACGACTAAAATATCAGTATTTTATCAAAAAAAAAACGTTGTTATCCCTGCGTGAAAGGTCACAAGTCATTAAACTAATCAAATATATTAGATAAGTAATTATTAAGAAAAATTGAAATTTTCACAGGTTTAACGTTTCGACTGAAAACCAGCGAATTTAACCGTCCAATATTTTGACTTTTAAATATTTTCCGTGCATCATTTTTATCCGTGCCCTACTTAACAATGACAATATTGTAGAGTAAAACAGAAGTCGGAACATAATATACCTGAGCTTCTGCGGTCGAACATGCGGCCATACAGCTGTATAGATCAAACACAGAGGGGCAATCAGAAGCCATGTCCGTGCGTTTGTGTTCGGCGAAAATGGCAAAGGCGCAAAAACGACTGGTAAATAATTTTTTATAAAAAGAAAAAAAAACACTACTAGCGGTATGATAACTACCACGCGGCAAACTGGTTGGGCTACTGAAAAGCGACAATAAGTCGAGCCGGGTTAATAGGCATAATATTTAATAATAAATACATTAACGGTATCCGCAAAAGGAACTGGAGACGGGATTTCCTGAAATCGCTTTCCCCTTCCCACGGCCCGGTTTGATAACCACCGTAGCAGTTATCGGATGGCCGACGTCGCCGGATAAGCTAATTAACGAGGCCGGAATGCCAGTCGTGGATTAGCATAGGGTTTTATTGATGATGAAAACAAATAAATAACCATAATAATAGGAGCACGTCATGCTAGTGTAACGATAATTAAACAATTTTTAATATCGATTCTACATTATGATAATAATAATATTATGTGTGTGGACTGAGTAATACTTCCGGTCGATCGATAAACTCAATCACAATACACTGTGAAAAGTCTCGGTCTATATTTCAAATGCTTTTTAAAATTATCAGTCATCCTTACAGTTTTTAATTTTGGGCAAATTCGAACTATACACTTTTCACTATATGATTTATATTGTGTATGATGTATATTTTTAAATAAATCTGTATAAACGTGTTAAGGTTTCATGGATTGAAGTATTATTTACTTGATGATCTTTGGATGTACAAATATGAATTTACAAAATGTGTAAATTTACCGTTTATGTAAATTTTATATACATATATAGATAACTTTTTCTAAATCTAATGACCGTTCTCCCCGGTTGGGTTTAACATTTAAGTATAGTTTGTCCTTTAGTTTTAATACTGTTAAACTTTACTTAATTTTTGAGCTAAACTGGCGAGTACGGTCATTAGTGTAGTACAATTAAGACTGAAAATACAAAGTTAGTAATATATGAAAAAAAAAAGGAACAAAAAAAGAGTCAAGACCGTGCTAATATATTTTTTTAAACACAATATTTTAGCTTCGACGCGGATGCTATTGGTTTTACAATAGATGACGTGTGCTTTTCTTGAAGCGTTTGACTATTTTCTTCGAGTAGCATCAAATAAGATTGGCAGATAAATCGATATGTGTGTGGCAATGTTTTTTAACGAGGCATAAAGGTCATATTCGGGAAGTATCAAACGTTTGGTCGACGATGAAGTAAAAAAAAAAACGTATACATTAAATAGACGTGTCCAGTAAGATTACTCAAGCTTCGATCCGGCGAAGGTATAGGTTTTACAATGATGTGTGCTTTTTTATGTTGTACCCACTAAAACTTTTTTTAATTCTAGACCATCTAGTTGATGTTTCGGGAGGGGGGGAGGAGGTTAAAGCTGAAAAGTTTCACCCCTTCACTCTTGGAATCGCACGAAAAAGAAAACTATACAAATATTCAAAGCCAGATAGCTGTGTTTTAAGCATAATATATAATGATACACATTTTACCAAGTGTTCTACCGTATTGACAAGCATACAACTAACCAAGTGAGCTACCGTACATTCGACCGTTGATGTTACTAAAATATATTTACTTAAATATATCACTTATTTTTTAAATACTAAAAAACAATTTAAAAATTTAGTAATAAAAAAGCACGAAAAAAATCAAGTACAGGTAATTTTTTTTTTTTTAATGTGTAAAAGCACTCACTTAATCAGATTGTAAATAGTATAATCATAAGCGTAGAGTAAAAAAGTAAAATCCGACAAACTTGAAATTCCTATCCATAAAACTAGCTTAGTTTGAATCAAGTATATTTTTTAATTAAAACTGCACAAAACGTAATTTTGTGGGAACTAAAATAATATAATTGTAATGGGTTACCGAGCTTAATACGAATACAGTAATAATTGTCAATAGATAACAAATACGGCAGTATTGATATTGTTATTAGTCAAGGGCGTTTACAGGAAGGGGAGTTTTATTTGGGGCAAGTTCGATAGGTCACAACTGTTCAACAAAACTTTCCCGCGTTAAAGTTTTTTTTGTGAAATTTCTGCACATAAATACAAAAAAATCGTATACAACAACACGATTTTAGAACAAAAACAAAATATTCACAGTACAACAATATGGTGATTCGTGATTCGTAGATACTTGATTTCTCTTAAACCAATTATTGCAATTTCGTAGTTTTTCTAATTGGAAATACTTCAGTTTAGGTTAGGTATATTACAGTACTAGACAATATTTTACAGACAGAAGGCGGAGTGCGGTAGTGTAACGAGCACAGCTAAAAATAATAGTACACCTCCACCCCCCTTCCTCCAGTTTTAAATTTTAAACTTAAAAAGTAATTACACAAAACTGGGGACCGGTCGAAATTTAAGGAAATAATTAAAAAAAAGTTAATTAAACAAATACGTTACCGTTTAAGTTTTAAAAATGAATAAAGATCTCGAAAATACAAAGTAAGTAATTCATAATCCTTATCCTTCTCCTTATATAGATATATAAGGAAAGAACAGATGTGTTTTATGGTCCAGTTTTCTGGTGAGGCATTTGAATAATTTCACGTTTATTTTTTTTCCCCAGAGTCGTTGCAAATCGACCCTTTTTCCCATTTCTATTCGGGGGAGGGGAGGCGAGGGGAGGGCAAACGTTTTATTTCGTTTTTCCGCTTGTCTGACGAAACTTTTGTCTGGTTTCTATACAAGTTATCAAATTAATTTTTTAGTATTTCGACGTTAAAAAGTGTGAATTCAGAATTCAATTGAGATATACAACATAGAATGTAATGTTATAGTGGTTCGAAGAAATATCACATAATACATTCGCTCATTGTTTTAGTTTAAAAAAAATCCATACATCTTTGGTACCTAGTGTGTACAATTTCTTCAACGTTTTACTTGAACTGGTTTTGCATTAATACATTAGAAACGCAAAAAGTTCATCAAATCAGTTACCAGTTGTCCATATCGATACAGTTATTGTCGAGGTAAAAATTATTTTAAAGATAAATCTGTTGCCTAGCCAACTAATAATCCCCATAATCTCCCCCCCCCCCACCCAAATAAGTTTTACCCAAGTAGTTATAACTAATATACCAGTATACCAAAGGTATAGATTAGGGTGACGAAATGTTTGCAGCCAAAAGCTAGTTACCAGAACGTCTAAAGTTAGAAGTTGGGTATAGACAATTTTTTTGCAAATCTTAATTAAAATGTTGAACTGTGATGTGTAATTATTTGCTATATATTTATATTTTAATTCTGACCTCTTTTTTTAAAACTTTTTAAGTGTAATGTGTATTTAAGGTAAATTTTTTTTTTAAAAACCGACGAGAGAACCTAGTTGAAGTCTTTCATATTTTAACGGTATCGAAATGGTTGTTCAATGACCATTTCGCTTTGATCTACACCTTCATAAACCCGTTTTTACGATTATTTTCAGAGGGTATGACGGCCTCTTAATCCGAGGCTGTACAACAAACAGCGTTGTTGTTTGTTGAAAGTCTCAACTGTAATAAAACAGCGCCGTCGGGCTACATGCAATAAGCACGCCCTTCCGACATGCCTACCTACATTGTTGTGTATAGTACTGATTACACACAGAGAGAGCTACAAAAAGAAAAAAAAAAGAAGGCAAACCTCACATCTTCCCTGAACACACACACAGGCCAGGGCGGATCTAGGAATGAAAAATGGTGATGGGGAGCTAGAATACAAACAATTCACTTCAAATACACATATTGTTAAGCAAGAGTCATACAAAAAACCAAATATACATTTTCTAATATAAAAATACCCATTTGAGTACATAAGGGAGGGGCTTCAACCCCCATAGATCCCCTTGTATCCACACCTGAGTTACAGCGACCGCTGCTGCACACATTATGATACACCTAGGTTCTCACACGTGCCTGTATAATAATACATTCTAAAAGAAAAAAAAACAATATCGATTAAGACTCACCTCGTTGCAGTCGGGTGGTATCTTCTTGGTGGACGACGCTTCTATAAAACGATTTCGATTCGATTAACGCGGTAACTCGATAAAATACTAATTACTAATAATTATTTTTAATTCGACAATAATGTAGTTTATGCAAACGAATTTACAGCGAGAGAGAGAGGGACAAAAATTAGGGTTATTTAAATGGTATAAAAATAGTCGGTAAACGCGTTGTGCGTGTAACCGGATTATAATATTCTATATTATTATTATATTATAGCTAATAATTAATTAATTCTATTACGGACGGTTTTATGTTGGTTAAAAAAAAAAAATTATTTAAAATATTTTATGTAATTACGGCTGTGCAGAACGGTCATACGGTAGTCGCGTCTGTGTACTCGGCCCAATGTCCGCAGCTGGTCGGCACACAAACGCGCACGCACACACACACGTCATACACGAAAACTGGCGCCGGTTATTGAAAATAAAAAATTCAAAAAAAACTTTACTGATTTTTGATGAAATTATTGCACTGCACGGTTCATAGAAAAAAAAAAATGGAAAACGTGGAACCGGCGGCGGCGACGGCGGCGACTTCGACGACAACAATTTTCTTATCAATCCCAAATGGTCAAGCTGGTATTGTATTGTCAACAAAAATTATTTACTTATACTCTAAATATATTATATTATAAATTCAATTGCACATCGCGTGTAGTATTGTTGAAAGAAAAATAAAATGGATAATAATAATTTAAAAAAAAATGAAACCGAGTAAAAAAATAAACCCTAATTTTTTTTGTATAATTTTTTTATCGCGACCGCCGGCGTCCAGTCGTCAGCGAGTGTAAGTCCCGTGTGTGTGTGTGTGTGTGAGTGAGTGTGTGTGTGTAGGTGTGTAGGTGTGTGTGTGTGTGAATTAGAGAGATAGGCGGAGAGTGGCCGTCCAGAAATGTATTAATGAAACTATATTAAATCAATAAAACACAAATAGACGGCATAGTGACTGTAGTGCGAGGGTATTGTATGCTAACTGGTGGCGCCAGGGGTGCCCGGCGCGAACGCTACAGTCGCCGTCGACGACGCCGCCGACCGGCGCGCTCTCTGTCGTGCAACCCGCCGGCCGGCTCGAACTTTAACTTCCCTTTCGCGCCCCCTCTGTCGGTGACGGTGGCGGTGGCGTGGGACGGTGGCGCAGGAAGGGCGTCCCCGGAGGGTGGACGAGAGGAGGGAAAAAAAAGAAAGGGTAGAGATGGCGGCGGCGGCGGCCTAAGAGAGAGGGAGGGTGGACGGCGGTGTGCGGGAGAGTCAGTCGTACTCGTGTACACTACTTATGTGTGTATGTATATATATACGTATAGCAGCTAGCAGCAATGTTATGTGGGTATGCCCCGTCGACGCGGCCGCCGCAAAAGTCCATACAAACAAACGGCCCATAAGCGCCGGGTTAGGCGAGAACGTGCCCGCGCACAAAAAGAATAATTACACCGCCTTTGCCGCCGCCGCCGCCGCCGCCGCCTTGTCGACCAGGCCGCCGCGCCGGAAGGGGATGCATTTCGGGGCGACCCGTGCCGCCCGTGTGTTTGCGGTGCCCAAGACGTTTGCCGCGGCCGTTGTTTTCCTTAATACGTCAGACGTAAGACGGTTCGCGAAAGTTGGTCATGCGCTAAATTTGGGCAAACAAAAATTATAACTGTTCCCCCTCCCCCCCCCGGTCGGATTCACCCACTCGAGATAAAGCGCAACGATGCGATGCGACGGGGCGAAACGCCCAAGTTTTTTTCGAAAAAAAAAAAAAAATATATTCCACTTGAACACGAGTGTCGAATTAGGCGACGAGTCGTGCCGCTTGTTCGAATGCACTCCAACAACATGTACTCGTCACCCCACCTTTTAGTTTATTTAACGTCCCAAATACTTTAAAACCCTTCGACGCCCGATTTTTTTTTCATACCTAATAATATAGATTAAATTATCGGAAATTTGACGAAAAAATACCGTTTACAACAACCGGTAGATAGCGATCATTTCTTTAATAACTATCGGGCGCCACCTAAATAAAAATATGTATTTACAATAAATTATGAAAAAAAAACATACTGCATTTGTTGCCATTTCATCGAACAATTGTTTTGGCCAAGTCACAGTTTTTCACAATTATTTTCCGTGAGAATATGATAAAACTAAACGTTCACACGACTCCTTTCTGTTATTGGATTCTGTGTTTGGACAATAGGATTTGACTACTTTCTGCAGTAAACGATGTGCTCGGCACAAAGTTATAGAAATATAAAAAAATTGATAAAAATTCACTTGTCACCTTTCTGCCGTTGGCCAATTCAATTACATCAAACAAAACATCACTTTAATTTGTACAAATCTACAATACCGTCAACAAGGTAGGTAAATCGTAAGTAATTTGACTATTGAAAAATTAGTCAAAAAAAAAAAAACAAGTCTCTAACAAAGTGGAATCGTTTAAAACGTCCGTTTTTAAACGCATCATTTGTTTGAACGTTGTTTTTTTTTAAGGGCTGTTTTAACAAGTGTTTTTTTTTTTGCAACGATTAAAACAGTGTGTTTTTCCTACATTTTTTTTTTTTAAATAATATAATACATTGGGAAAAAAAAATACCGATGATAAAGTCGGGGGATTAAATATCGCGATGCGGCTCAACCGCTACCGACTTTTATACCACATGAAGGGTGAAAAAAACCAACAAACAAATTATTTCATTTAAAAAATAAACGGAAAAGGGTTGATAATATAACATTGTAAGGTCATTGGGAAATCTACATTGGTAAATGTCGAGCCGGTCAAACGCGGAGAAAAAATGTCTCTTTGCCCGTTCGCTTTGCTTGGGTTTCTGTTTTGTGTTTAACTTAACGTCATACCTGTGTAGTGTACGGCTTGTACAAACTGTATAAACGGCTCGGCTAATTAGCTGCCAGACAGACAAGAGTCGACGTCGCTAAGAATTAATTAGTTTTTCTCTAAACTTTCCGGCACAAACGCCGCACACGTTTTGTCATAGTCGATACGGCCCGCGTTCGAATATCATCTTCTGAAACTCTTTTACATAATTATCATCGCGCCCGACTCCGAAAAGTTACTTGATACAAGTATTTACAACTTAATTTGTTATTAAACACAAAACTCGTTTCTCCCGGGGTAACCCAAAAGCACTTTATGAAAGTTCGGTTGACATAAATATGCAACACCGCCTTATTAGTATAATTGAAATTAGCGATAAAACTTCAAACGGCTTCAAAGACATTATATCCATGTACCTACGCCGTCCCTATTTCCGTATATTAACATGTTGTACGGGACACAGCTTGCAATAGATAAAACACTCGAGGATGTACGATTTTGGGCCGGTCTTTGATTTAATGAGAAATAGGACTAGCTGTTAACTTGGTAAAACACCAAAGAATAACAGCTGATCAGATACAAACGGATAAGCGATGAACAGCTGTAAATGGAAAGCCATTGAAATTATATAATTTTCCTTAATGGTTTAAACCAATTTAGGAGCAAGATTTTTTTTTTTTATAAAAATATCTTTTAGTATAGCTTATATTTTAATATTATTAGTGTAACTAATCGAATCTGCAGGGACGTTCCTGGCTGATTCCCGTTTTTCATTTCCCGTTCAAAGTAAAAAAAAACATTTCTTATAGAAAACGTCATGTCCGTTCTTATGGAGATGAATGTATAACATTTTTTACTGAAAAAACAGCTGCGGCTCACTTGAAAAATGATGATTTTTTTTAAAGTAAATACATTGTACATAAATCGAAAGTTTATTTATACTATTCCCGAGGGCCTTGTGTCACGATTTTTGAAAATGCAAAGTTAAAACGGAATACGTTGATGTCGAAAAGGGACAATTTAACTGGGTCTCACATTAAATATTTATTTATAAAACGGTATACCGCAAGTATACAAAACCGGTATGCAAATAAGGCCTTCGGATGTACCGGGATAATTTAATTTTGTAAAATCTGTTTTCGCATTTAAAGTGAATACAACAATGCCCGACTTGCTACTATATTGATTTGCGCCGTCGGTAAAAATAGACGATTTAAAAGAGAGAGAAAAAAGCTCTTGTCGACTTCACAGTTGAGTGAAATACTTTAAACTGCCAATAAATTAATTGTACTTAACACTTTTGTGTTGTGTTTCTTTTTTTTAGAAACCGTTTTTGACTTGTCATAGCCACAAACCTAACTGATGGCTTTTTTTATTTGATTTAAATAATATCAGCTTCATTCCGCGACTGGGAACGTTCTATCAGTTGCATAACGCCAAAAAATACTACTTCTGATCAATACATTAAAACTATAACAAACCATTTTATATAGATACTGTTATTTTATTCAATTGTTTCTACGTTACGGTCATTATAAATTCATTAATTTCACTATCCGAGATTGTTTTCCCCCACAGCAATAAATTATAATTGGATTGAAGTTTGTCTATACATTTTAGTATGCATCAAAGGGCGATAAATATTGTTATTAAGTTGTCCGAGCCAATCCGAGCTGCAGTGTAACCCATTAAAACTTTTAATTTATGTAAATTGGGTTTAAAGGCTCCACCGAAATTGTTCAATAACGCAACTTTATCATCGCCCAAACACATTGTTGGTTTAGATTAAACTTTCAACTAATTATTAACGTGCAATCACAGTAGGTAGCAAGTAGTGCAATCAGGGTATACGTTATGTGTAGGTATGCCTCACTACAAAGAAGAGCGTTTGGCGCTTACTTTATTGAATCTATGATCGTAGGCAGATGTGTGTTTGAGTATAGTTTGAGGTATCAAATGTTGAAACAGGTATTCCAGCTGCTATAGTATAATACAGTATGTAGCTAATCGAAAAGGATCCAAATGTGGATACAGTAAATTGAATGCAAACGTTGGCCGGGACTTGGGGTTATGTAAACTGCAAAGAAAGCGCCTCAGGCTTTTATTTTTAGTGGCATACATATATTATTTTACATACCTACTGTGATCTCTCGTAGTACCTGCTTTGGCTGTTATTTGCTTCGTTTAAGAGCATTTTTTTTTTAAAAGAGTGTTTTTATTTTTTTTTAATACGTAATACTATTTTCCACATATATTTTAGTCTTCTTTAATCTTGTAACCATACTTAGCCACGCGCACTTGGTCTTATGATTATTTTAAGGCAGTTTTGTAGTTCTTCTTTTTGTATTTAGTATTTTGTTTACGCTATATTATAATATATATTACAATATTTAAATTGTTAGCTTTTTTAGTATATGTATATTTTTAGAGCTTTAATTTTAAACTCGAATAACTTTAAAAATATTTATACAAAACTGATTTTAGGCCAGTCGACATTTCCAGTAAACTATTATTTTCAAATTAAATATAAATGTTACCGTTTAAGTTTAAAGTTCTAGAAAAAAAATAAAAAAGATAAAAATTTGAGTATTATCTAAAATTGTAATAATAGGTATAACATGAACGAAAATGTTTTCAAAAAGAAAACCTACAAAATTAAAATCCTTATCCATTTAATTAAATTCACCGGTATATATTATATTACATCCAAGTATAGCAACCTGGAAATTCAATACTGTGCGATAACACAATCAAACCGTTTTTAAAAGAATACTTATTAATATTGTTTCAATTAATTTACTTATTAATCAACAAGCGAAAAAATGATTGTAAAGAAATTATTTTTTTTTTGTAATTTCGTTTTATTATGAATAATTATTTTCGTTTCATTATTCATTAATCAAAGTTGTTTTTAATTATAATTAAGAAAACAACCCTGAACGAGCGTCTTAATGAAATCATATTTTTCATTTCAGCGCTGTAAGTTTTAAGGTTGGTCTCGGAATTAATGAAATAAAAGAAACGTCACTCAATTAGGATTATATTGTAATATATTTGAGTTTTTTCTTTTTGCATTTGGGTAGCTTTTTTTTGTTTTTTTTTTTTTTTTTTAACGATAATCGACAACGGATTTATGTTGTCGTTGC